GGGGAGAAGTGTGTGAGTAGGAAGAAGAACTTTGCAATTCCTTACTCTGCTGGTGATTTTCAGATCCCACTGTGCATCAGAATCACCCAAAGAGCTTTAAAAATACAGAGCATTAAGTCTTAGACCAGACTCACAGAATCAGAATCCCTGACGATGGACTACAGGAATCTGAATTACTGCCAAGTTCTAGAGAATTTTGATATTTGCTCCATAAAATCTGAAGTTAGAGGGTCTGTCTAATCTGAGTAAAGTCTCTATTAAGTGTCAGCGACCACCACCTTTAACAGCACTATTATAATATGGGATGCTGCAAACAGTGTAAGCAGATCAAGAACGTTTATTCAACTAAATTCCATATGAATTACGACAAAACTTACCAGATTAGACACTTTAAATATACACATTTTATCGTATTCCAATCATACCCATATAACACTGTAAATTTTAAAAGTTCCAAATGAAAAAGCATAAAATAAAATCTTTGGCATCTTAAAAAAAATTCTCCATGTATTTCTAGGTGCTAGATGCTGAGTAAACAAAAGGAAAACTACAGGTCTCACAACCGTGAGGGACAAAAGCACATAAACATACACATTCTTACATGGGTATATTAACATTCACTGAGGACTCACTATGTGGCCCTCTTCCAACTTCTACAAATTGTCAATTAATTTAATCCTCACAACCCTATCGGTAGATACAATTATTATTGCCATTTTATAGATGAGAAAACTGAGACACAGAGAGGTTAAGTAACTGGACCAAAGTTACAAAACTAGTGACAGGCCAGAATCTAAAGCCAGGCTCTATCACTGATGTGTTTAGTCTGCTCGGGCTGCCATAGCAAAATACCACAGACAGGGTGGCTCAAACAATGGAAACTAATTTTCTCACAGTTCTGGAAGCTAGAAGTCCAAGATCAAGGTGTTGGCAGGTTTGACTTCTCCTTGAGACCTCTGTCCTTGGCTTTCAGTGCCTTCTCGCTGTGTCCTCACATGGCCTCTCCTCTGTGTGAGCATATGCCTGGTATCTTCCTTTTCTTATAAGGACACCAATCATATTGGATTAGGGCGCACCCTAATGGCCTCATTTTAATTTAATTACCTCTTTAATGACCTTATCTCCAAATATGCTTACATTTGGAGGAACTGGGGGTTGGGACTTCAACATATGAATTTTGGGGAGGACACAATTCAACTCATAACACCTGATGACTGTGTAACCTCAAGAAAGTTACTAGACCTTTCTAGGCCTCAGAATCTTCAACTGTAGGACAGTGTTATTTGAATTAAATGAGATCATTCATTTATTTTTAAATTTTTTTTGAGGAAGATTAGCCATGAGCTAACTACTGCCAGTCCTCCGGTTTTTGCTGAGGAAGACTGGCCCTGAGCTAACATCCATGCCCATCTTCCTCTACTTTATATGTGGGACACCTGCCACAGCATGGTGTGCCAAGCAGTGCCATGTCCGCACCCGGGAGTCGAACCGGCCAACCCGCGTCCGCCGAGAAGCGGAACATGCGAACTTAACCGCTGCGCCACCAGGCTGGCCCCAAGACAAATCATTTAAAATGCTTATCAGAGTGTCTGGCACATTATATCATCATTTTACAGATGAGGAAATCAAAACTCAGAAAGATGGTGACTTGCCCTGTTTTCATCTCTGAAATGGAGTTCTTATACTACAGAACACAGCTTTCCTCTACAACCCCAAATGCATAATCTAGGAGAATTTTATATAATTTATAAATTTTCTCTTTCTCACTTCCTGCTTTCTCATAGTATTTTTCTTACTTTATTACATACAAGAGAGTGAGAGAAGGAGAAGTTCAAATTAATAAAAATTTAGTTAGGGAAGTATACTACTTTTCTGAGATTGTATGTGAATTTCATTCATCCTTTCTCCTAATTTGCAAAGACAATTGGCTATAATCACACAGTGATGACACCTCAGAAGATCAATACCTACTTTCAACTATTAGGAAAGAAAAGCAGCTCAATGATTTTTTTTAAAAAAATTAAGATTGTACTTTACATTTGCCTAGTACTCTACATATATTACATCCATTTAACCTTTAATACAATCTTACGATATCATTTTATTTAGTCCTTCTAACAATCCTCTGAAGAAGGTATTGTCTCCATTTTACAGCTAAGGGAACAGGAGCACAGCAAGGTTAAATGTTTTTCTTTAAGATCACAAACCTTGACAATAACTGGCAGAACAAGAACTCTCACTGACATCTTCAAATCTAAGGCCAAGGTTCACCAGTGCAGGCCACCATCTACCTTGGCAAGTTGCAATACCTGGTTTTCTCATTCTTCATGCTTGGCACAAACACAGCAGGTGCTCAGTGAATAAGGCAGTCTGATTTGGGGCAATCTAGACTAAGGTGCAAGGAAATCTCTTTTACATCCTTTATATGAGCCAAGTTGCCTGACAACTTTGACCACCATCAAGGCCTTGGACTGAGAGCTCTTTTAAGACAGCAACTACAGTCTCCTTCTTCCCCAGTGTCTAGCACACCAGGTGCTCATTAAGTTCAACAGATATTTGAGAAATGAGAGTTCAAGTAAAAATTTATTGTATAATGGAATCATAGCACATTCTTCCTTTAGTGATGGCAATGGGTACATTTCAGCCACCACCATATAAAAACATCAATAAAAAGAAGCATTTATAGAAACCCTCTCTCACAGCCTACAACAGAGAAGCCTACAGGGCTTTTCCAATCCCCAAATTCTATGATTTCATAGTAGTCTACTCCTGACAAGTAGTTAAACTGATTGCCTTAGATATCAATTACGGGCACAATGCAAGTGGATTTTCCAGTACAGAACCAGCACAGTGTTCTTAGTCTGCAGTGTGCTTCCAGGAAACTAACAACTGCATATATGACAGGGAAGTTTCACAGTTCCCAGAGGAAACTGTAATGGATGATAAGGTCGATCTGAGACACAGTGGAATTGCTATTTGTCAGGGCCCTTGCACTGCAAAAAGGAGCTGTATTAAGAGAAATCATGTTAACTTTTATTTTCTCAAGAATACAATGCTCTCTGGATTTTTTCTTTTAACTTCAAGTTTGTTTTGTCATGAGCAGTCAGGTAAATTTTAACCCAGCCATGGAAAACTATCTGACCATTTGTGAGCTGTTCTGTACACAGGGAAGGGAGGGGGCAGAGCTGATCAGAGCAGTGTTCTAAACACTGCTCTAAACTCTCCCTTAACTTCAGCGACTTGTGGATGTCCAGTCTGTTCATCTCTGCTGCTTTTGTGTATCCTGTGAACTGGCTATCATCTCCCTCGCTACCTATTTCACAGAGCTTTTGTAGCAGATTTAAAAGAAAAATTTAAGCTCCCAGAAAGAAAAGCATTCAGTAAAGTATTGAAAGGATAAAGTATTGCCAGCATTATACTTCCTGTCTGAATTAATCTTTTCAAAGTACTCTGAGATCTGAGGCATGCAAATTCACTAGAAAAGTAAAGAGTTACTCTAGGTGATCCTTTCTAAATCAAGGTAACCTACAAATACTCTCTTCTGATTCCTTAATCAAATGACAAAAAGTTTCAGAGAGAAATGCAGAGGCATACAAATGGAATAATTCTGCAAATAGTGAAATTAAAACATTAATTTACCCACTCATCACCACTGTAATCAATATTTATTAAATATATAATATATGCAATAAATAAGGCACCAAACTAGATGCCGTAAGAATATGGAATTACGTAAGAAATGCCCATATATCTTCCTGTAGTGCAACTACACCATAAGATGAAACTTTTGTTCAGATTTCCTTCCCAAATAAAGGATTCAAGTTTCCCTAGGACATGGAAGAACAAAATAATTTTTTTCTCTGTTATGACTTTCTGGCTTCACAGAAAAATTTTAGAACACACTGGGGGAGAAACTCGTCTTTTACCTATTAGTTTCCACTGACAAGCAGCAGCTTTCTCATGAGTGACTGAGCTACACAATGGCTGTAACTTTCACAATAACTTGATTAAATCTGACACGCACATGATGGGGGTGGGGAGGAGAAAGGAACCCATGTGCCCTTCAATTTCAATAAGAGAAGTTGAAACGTATTGTCAGGGAAAGCAGGAAGAAGATCAAGATCATGTGGTTTGGAAAGAAGATCAAGAAAGGACAGAAATATTCCAATAACAGCAAGTCACTTGGGATTCCTTGAACGCCCTGCCATATTAAATCACATATGGCTATGCAACGAAAGAAAAAGTTAAGGCCTATCTCACGCCTCACTTCTGCTACTGATTGAGCTTGAGAAAGAAAATTAAGACAACCTTTTAAAGTTATTCAGTCAAAGGCAGAAATTGTAGACTGGACATTTAAGGGGATAAGCTCATTAAGTGGGGTAAAGCACTTGTTTAGCAATTAGTCACTGTCCTTATCCAATTAATTTAAAACAGGAAGCCCCAAATTTTCTTAAAACTTTACTGGTATTAGTTTGCTAGAAATGACTGTTCCAATACATAAATTCTTTGTATGTGTTTACTTTCCACCCTAGATTTATGGCTAAATTGTTCTCAAAAATAGAACCAACTTCTTAATATCTGCTTCTTTCACTTTTAATATTCGATTTTCCCTAAGCCACAGAACTTACGTTTTTCAACAAATGAAGTAAAGTGAATGCTGAGAACCACCTCTCGAGTCCAAGGATGGGGGAATAAGGAAGGGTTTATACCCAAACACAAATAGGGCATACTCAAAATAAGGTCAAGATCACATTAAGGAAATCTACAGCATATCAAACAAAATTTTGTACTTACGGTTCTGATCAAGCTGAACTATCTTTTGGGACAGCCAATCATGAACAAGACTGCTGTATTTGGAAGCCAGACACCATGAATAGAGTCTCTTCACAGAAATGGAAAATGACACTCAGCCAGCTCTCTGTCCCGTGGTGTATCTCACATGCAGCACATGAACAATTCCTATTCATTTTTTTTTCATAATGAAAAGTAGATCAACTTACATGGCTCTCTGGCAATGAACTGAGGTACAGTGTTGGGCAGAGGAGTACTGGGGTTTGGAGTCCCTACTAGTTTGTTCTTGGCCATCTTCGTGTTTGCCTTAGCAAACTCTAGTCGTAGTGTTTGCGGAATTTCAGGATCGAAGCGGATGCCCTTTGGAAATACAGAACAAATGGAAGATGTTTTCATTTCCTTAGAGTTAAACAGGAATGGCGACAAAATAAACACACCAGTAACCCTGGCCTATCAGAAAAAAAGGTCAGCTAGAGCTCTCATTCCCACTACTTACACAGAATACACGAAAAACCATTAACGCAACATGTCCAGAAAGTCTGGCAGATTTTGTTTACTTAATTAAATAATTTAGTTACATAGTTTTTCAACTATTCCTTTTCTTCTTGGACAAAAACTTTCAAGTTTGAAAATATGAAATGGCAAATTCCTAGCATAGTCAAAAACTTCAATTGATGGCTACCAATAAGAAGGAAAGAATTAATATAAAGCCCTGAGCAATACTGGAAATCCTAAGAGGCCTAGGCCTCTGAACAGTGTTCTGACATCGACTTAAAAACAATGTAATTCTTCAATGCTTTAGTTCTATCACCTATAAATAGAGGGGGAAAAATCTCATCCCTTTCTAACTGGAGAGATTTCATAACGGTGATATATGTACTCTGAATTAATAAGAAGACAGGAAATAAACACTTTTAAGGTTTCAACATAACTAGTATCACTTAATTCGTTAGCTTATAAATTTATATAAAATACGAATGTCTTGATGTGGTAAAGTCCTGATTTTAATTATAACTGGTTTATTAGCTACATGGATAGAGAGACAAGAGATTACATGGGCCAAAGAGAGGATAGTAATTTCAATTGCCCTTGACCCTATTATTGCAGTTCACCTAACACATATTCCATAAATAAATCACAATCAATATAAAATACAAGATTTAGGGCAATATCTAAAGTCTATTTTGAAACCCTCCCACCATTGAAGAATGCCTTCATTACTAAGCATGATGAATAGTCTCACATCTATGTCCAATGCCATGGATTCTGGACCCCAACAATAGTATCAAAAAGCTATCCCAGTGTAGTACATAAATATGCATCCAAAACAGACTCAGGTCCCATTTTTGTCTGTATGGTATGTTCTGGAAAGGAAGTTGGAGTTCTGAAAACAAGTATCCTAAGAACACAGGTTTTCCATTTAGTGCACATCTCGGCCTGTGGGCCCAAAGTCCCTTTTCTTTTTCTTAATTAGCTTGAAGAAAATTAAGAACAATTTCCACATGAAATTAGTAAGAATCTCTGACTCTGTAGACCAGGATGAGGAACTCTGAATTTCACAAGCTAAGCGCCAAGGACAGGAGGAAAAGCCTGTGACTCTGGATGGTAATGGCAATAAAAGAAATAAGGAAGGGGAAAGGGGAAGAAAGAGACGTCCTCAGAGAGGTACAACAACAGCCACAGAGCCCTGATCTACAGATGTGCTGGAGTGGGTACAATTTCTTCATGAGCCTGATTCATCTGTTCTCTGAGAAGAAACCAATTGAAGGTGGCAAATGGGGGTGGGTGGGAAGAAAAGGAATCCACTTGTGCAGCCCTAGCCAAAAAAAGTAAAAAGGGGGTGTCAGTTATATGAAACATAAAAAGAAATTCTTTAACTGGTCTCAGTTTTTGTTTTATTTTGCTTTAATTTGGGAAGCCTCAGTATTATCTTGCCAAAAACGTATATAAGGAAAAAGAACAAAGCAGCATTCTGAGCAGTGTTTGCTTCCATGAGCTTCCTCTTAAGAGCATTTCATTCTATCAAAGCTACTATCGCAACAGAACAAGTATTTCCAAATATGGATGCAAAGAGTTGCAGTCTTTGCTGGGAGACAAGCACAGTCCCCGACTGAACAGCTAAAGGTATGCTGTGGAGGGACTTGCTATTCATACTATACCCCGTCAGCTACACATAGTAACAACTTGCCTTCAATTTCAAGGTGTCCTCCCTGGCACTAAACTCCACCAACCTTCCTGTGAAGAAGCAACGTTCATAAACCTGAGCCCACATCAACCCGAGCACTGTGGCGTAGGCTTTCATAACATGAGAAGAGCATCCTGGGACCTGTCAGTAGTCCCTGGAGCTTCCAGCCTCAGATAATGAGGCTATGCATCTGAATTCCATACCTCAGCTCTTTCACTGGTGTTCTAGAGTCAAGCAAGGCTCCACACAACTCACTTTCCTCTTACTGATGGCTCATGTCCTAAACATGCTGAACTGAGTCTCCCCGACTCCTCCTCACCCGCCTCTTCATACCCTTCCCTTCCCATTTGAGCTAAAATAACACCACCATCTTGTTATGTTCCAAATCAAAGTTCCAGCTCCTTATTAAAAAAAAAAAAAAAAAAAAGCTCAGAAGTTAAAATGACCTAATTTGTTTGGCAGCTTATTCAGAGGCCGGAGGCTTAGAATACAAGCCACATTCTTCTAACATCTTTAGCAGCAATACCATATTTGGTAATCAATATCCTGCTCAGCTCAGTTTCTATCCAGAGGGATTAGCCAAGTCAAAAACATTTTAAATGTTAAAGGATGATGAAGAGGAGGCAAGGGTAGGGAGAACATGGAAGTGAAGAGGAAGAAAAGAGAAAGAGGAGAAAGATAAAAAAGAGGAAGACAGATAAGGAGAAGACGACACGAAAAAAAAAATACCTTGTGCTTTTAATTAAAGCCTAACAAGATTATTCTCTGGCCAGAGTGACTTCACATTAAATGCTGTCAGGGTAAGATCACTGCCAAGTCGAAGGGGGGATCTGTGCCTTTCAAAATCAACTTTTTCCTCTCGTCTATAATCCACCAAAACTCTTCTTATAATGAAGAGAAACCTTTCTCTCACAGTTGTAAATGGTATCTTATTTACGTGGTGACCAGAAAAGACGTTTCTGGGCCTAAGTATGGTATCAATCTGAGAATAGTTACTTATCAGGCAACTCAATCTGACTGGCTAAAGGGACAGTCAAAAGTTTCCTCAAGATGACCTAAAACATCCTGACCAAACCAACACAGGTTCACTATGCTCTACAAAGACTGGATTCCCTATCCAGGACAAGATATTGTTGGCAAATAATGTTCCTTAGTAGTCTAGTATACTTAAGAGTATACCAGGGCAGTTTCAAATCCATATGCCAATGTGTCATAGACTGCATGTTTGTGTCCTCCTCAAATTACTATGTTGAAGCCTTACCCCACGTTGTGATGGTATCTGGAGGTGGTCCTTTGGGAGGTAATTAGGTTTAGATGAGATTATGAGGGTGGGGCCCTTATAATGGGATTAGTGCCCTTAGAAAAAAAGAGGAAGAGACACCAGAGATCTCTCTCTCCAACAGCACACAGGAAGGAAAGGTCACCTATGCACACAGGGACAAGGTGGTAGCCTGAAAGCCAAGAAGAGGTTTCCTGTCAGATACTAAATCTGTTGGCAACTTCATCTTGGACTTTCTAGCCTCCAGAACTGAGAGAATTAAATGTATGTAGTTTACGCAATCCAGTCTATGGTATTTTGTTATGGCAGTCCAAGCTGACTAAGACACTATGCTAACACAGTTTTCTTTCCTGGGCCATAGTTCCTAAAATAACTCAAAGCATTCTTTCTGAACCTTGTGTGGCCTCACACAAGTATATCTCCCCTTCTCCACCAGCCCCACTCCCAACCCCACCTTTCCCCTCACTGAAGGTGACTCAATCCACAGGAACAGTTTTATTCAAGTGGTATATGTGCCTGGTATTGTGATCACTACAAGTCCTAATAATTGGATCATAAAAGCTACAGAGAGCACTTAGAGACTCCGAAGGACAATTCAAACTCTGCATTCACATCCTGTAATGCTCTAAACTCAGACAGTTACTGCATTCAGGACTCTCTTGAGGGAAGTTTTTAAATCTTCTAAAGTTTAAAATTTTTTTCCCCACTTTCTCTTAAATATAAACAAAGCTTAAGAACTACTTGTAACTAAAGGTTAAAAAGAATCTTCTGAATTGTGGGCTTAAATTTCCCAAAGCAAATTTATGTTTCCTATTTAAAATGCATTAAGATTCTAAGCAAGCTAGAGAGCTTAAAAATGCCATTTTATTGTTCTACAAACTATATCAAAGCCTGGAGACCTAAAAGGATAAGAGCAGAACTGGAATATAATAAAACATAAGGAAACGGGCAAGGTGAAAGGAAATTACCAAACCGTGAAGGCCCAAGCCTCCAGGGATCCAGAGAGTCACTATAAATGAACTGTAGCTCTTTCAGTGATTTTCTGGAAGACAAAATGGAGATGCCAGTAATTGAATATGCTACAAAGCCCAGATCCTAAGTAGCTCTCCTATTTCTCTAGCTGTTGTGACTCTGGCTTCTTGGGTAGACTGGCTGGGGTAGGAAGGATTTATCACCTGCAAATCACAGATTTGGGCTCATACAAGGATACTGGATTATTCTGAACATAAAGGTACAACATCACTCTAGCTCCTCAGAAGTGTACTGGTATTGGATTAACATTAGCCCACCTAAGTGAGGATAAGTATTAGTTAGGAGTTTATTCGCTGAATAATGGGGAAAAAGAAAGAGAAGAAGGATATTCTAGAATGATTAAAATATCCCTAGAGGCTTATGCAATGTGTAGTCCTTGACTGAACAAACCAGACTTAAAAGACCTTTTGTGGGAAAACAGAGAAAGCTGAATGTAGAATGGATTTTAGGTGATACTTGAAAAATCTCAATTTTATTACTTATTAGGTGTGAGAATGATATTATGATACCATATGACTTTAGTCATATGTCTTTAGTTTTTATTTTAAAAAATTTTTTAAAAGATTTTATTTTTTCCTTTTTCTCCCCAAAGCCCCCCAGTGCATAGTTGTATCTTCTTCGTTGTGGGTCCTTCTAGTTGTGGCATGTGGGACGCTGCCTCAGCAGTGGTTTGATGAGCAGTGCCATGTCTGCACCCAGGATTCGAACCAACGAAACACTGGGCCGCCTGCAGCGGAGCATGTGAACTTAACCACTGGGCCACGGGGCCAGCCCCTGTCTTTAGTTTTTAGTACTGAAACACAAAGAATATATAATGACAAAATGTCATGATATAATATCATGTATTTACTTTAAAATACTTAG